ATCTGTGTAGTGTGTTGTTAAAATTGCTATATATATTAAAGAAAAGCTAGTTTGTTATGTAAGAATTATATTAGTTCTTTATAATTAAAATAAAATTTAAAAAAATTAAACAACTTTAAAGTTTTCTAACTTGTCAATAATTAAATTCTAAACAATTTAAAGTAAATAAATGTTAAAATGTACATAATACAATTATAAATTATTTATTAGTATAAACATTTGTGATCATTTATGAAATATTTAATATGTTATTTAAGATTCAATGCTTGTTCATTTTTAGATAAAAAGTAAATAAATTATTTGAATTCATATCGGATAATATAAGTGTAAAAAATGAAAAGAGCAATAATAGATTATATTGTTAATGCTTAATTGTTTGATTGCTTATAAACTACCGACATAAAAAGAGATCGTTAATAGAATGTGACGATGAATTCGTGTTTGATGCAGAGTGGTTGATATGTAAAATATAAAGTTATGAATTTCTGAAAGTTGAAATCACATCAAATCTATCCAATCACGCATCAAACCGGAATGAAGCCTAATATGGACAGCAAAGATGGTGATGCGACGGAGAGAAGGTGGAGTGTCAAGCAGACGTGGCGCATCTGTAACCTAGTATCAAGCTGCTGTCACTGTCGAAGCGTCACAGCCACTCGTTTCTTTGCGTGGTGGAGACACAATGCCGTGCCCTAAGTTGTTCACTTCACTTCACATGCATATATGCATGTGCATGTTCCCATTCCCATTCCTGCATGCATGCACTTCACGTCCCATCGCCATCTTCAATCCAATTCTTCATAATTAGTTATTGACCCCCCCAGAGTAAGTAAACATTTATTTCATTATTCACACGGTTCATGTACACTTTCTCCACTTCACCCTAACAAAAATAACTATTAACCTACGCGGATCAAATCAATAATTAAATAAATTTTAGTTTAAGCAAATAGATCCTCCATGAATCACAAGTCGGCTACTTTTCCCTATTATTTTTATATTTTTTTTAGTTACATTATTATTTGATGTTATATATATAATATGAACAGTTTTTATATTATATTTAACTTTTTTATGACATTTAGAAATAATAAAATATTACCGTGTGTAGATATAAGATAAATATTATTCTTTAGTCAAATAAACTTTTGTCCAACAATCCTAATCCACTATATTGAAAGTGTTGGGACAAACTAAGATAAAATTACAAAAAAAATTATAAACTAATATTATTATATACAAGTTTATTTATAGTCTCCATAATTTTTTAAAAATTTTGTTTAACTTATATATAAATTAATTTTAAATTATAAACAATGCATTTTTTCTTTAAAATTTTATTCAAAAAAATTGTCGAAACATACTCATCTGAAAATATAGTATACTACTGATCTATTAAAAAGAGAAAAAAATAGATCTTCGGTCATTCTTTAAAGTGTGTTTATATATCTTACAAAAAGGAAATTTAAAAAAATGATCAAATTATAAATTTGATTGATAATATATAAAAATAATTAAAATTTATTTAGATGTAAATTAAAAGTTCAATTTAAAAAAAATTAATTTTAATATATTGATAATATTAAAAAAATGTTGTCATCTAATTGCATATTCTACCCATGATCTTACACTCGTTACAGTTGTTGTTTTAGTTAGTTTTAGTCTTATGGAGTATTCTTGCTCTGGCCTTTTTTAAATCGTTCTTCGATATCTCACTTCTTTTATATATATTTTCTTGTGGTGTTTTAAATTTGTCTCATGTAGGTAGATTTAAAATTAATAAGATCTTTATATTTACTGTACTGATATAAAAGGGATATGATATACTCCTCATGTCACAACACTTTATATCTTAAATTTCAATAATAAAAAGTAATACCGATATCGATAATCTTTGCTATTCGAATGAAGAATAACAAATATTATAAATCATGAGTCGTTTTTTTTTTTCTGAGTACTTTTTTAATTGTCAATTTCAAGATATTTTTCAGATGAAATTAACTTTATCAATTTTTAAGGATCACATAGATGAGGCTATGTCACCAGTTTAATGTATCATTAATTTTTTTTTCTTAATTGTACTTAATTGTTATTTATACTTTCATAAAGAAAATTTATCCATTTGATGTATATTTTTTTATATTTTGAAAATATAACATTTTAACCAAGTACAATAAAAAATACTTTTATAATTAGTGTTTTTGCCAGAAAAGTAGAATACAAATAGATCAAAAGAAAAAGAAAATAAATAGCTCTATCGATAACTCAGACAAACTAACTTCATCACAAATAGAAGTTTGACTGAGTACTAGACGAGTTATGTCTTTTTACATAAAAATAAGAGAGGTATTCCTATAATACTTAATTCAGTAATTAGAGTAATTTATTTTTCTATGCTGTGTTTTTTTTTTTTCAGATGGTCATATATACATAATGATATAATTCATAAATTACTTATAAAAGATATTTTAAGTAATAAAAATATTGATTTGAATATAAATTATTTATTTTTAATTATGTTATCACACATTAATTTATATGTTATTATATTAATATTCAGGAATTAATTTAAAAAAATATTTCATCTAACTTCTATTTCTATATATACGAAAGTAATCGGTAGATATGATCGACAAAAAGTTAAAAAGAGTAATTGTTTTGTTTATTTTTGTGGATATGAACTTTACATGGCGCTCAATAATTAGTGTACCTTTTTTTAATCTTTTTACAATGGTGCAGGGAGGCATTAAATTTGAGCTAACTACATGAAGCACCTCAGTGGTGGCCTACATTTAATTGGTCTTGCTACACATGCTTTATTTTTATGACTTTTGATGGGAAAATTAACTAGAGGAACATTTTGTCACACTCGACGTTTGAAATTAAGAGGTGTTCCATCACACGCAAGTAAGTCCATGACCGACGAAACATAATTAAAGAGAACTCATGTTTTGTTATTATTTGTCTCTCTCAATTATTAGTTTAACGCTTAACCTCAAAATCATATGACAAATATGACTGAGGAGGTGAAATACTGAAGCATAATAACAGAGTACGAATGACAAAATCTAACAAGATGGATATGGTAACACGAAAATTTATGATGTTGTCGCTTGGAGTTGATGAATGAAATGACCCCGAATATATGATATGTATATAAGGGTTTTTTCTTTCATCTATTTAGTTTTCTCCCCCTACTTGCTATTTACAGGGTTAATCGCTTCTAAAATAACAGGTTAATCCACTGAAGCATTATATATAACTATATTCCCTTCCTTTTATATATTATAGCAGAGTTGAATGCCATTTTGCTAGTATTGTGAAGGTTTTCGCATGGAGATATGATGTAATGTTACACGGATAATATTTTAGTGTATTATAATAAATTTTCATGTTTTATACGGACAAAATCTCATTAGATGTGATTGGTTTCATTTTAACAAGAGATTTTCTGAATAAAATTTTTCATAATTCTTTTTAAAAGAGAAAATAAAAATAATATAATAATAACATATTTGTTTCATAAATTAAAATTAATTTATGTATAAATTAAAAAATAAAAATTTAAACAATCATATAAAATAACTACTATAAATTAAACTATGCATAAATTAATTAACCTTTGAAAATTATTTTTCTCATAAAAATAAAAATTATTAAGAAAAAAATCATCTAAACACGTCCTAAATATATATTATATGTTGGAAGTTCTTAAGTGCCCTTTTAGTTTTAAATATATTTCACGGAAAATAAAGAAAGAAGTGTCTTTTCCTATCCCCTGGTATTATTCTTTCTTATTTGAAGCATCATGGTATTCCAAATCTTTATTTTGTTTTAATTGTTAATAACAAAAGCTTTTAATCAATAACCAGTAAACTAGACCATTTGGACTTTAATTTATGTAAGTGGTATTGAACAATTTGGATACTTTCTAAGCTCGCAAATTATGTGAAGAAGAAAAGCTACAGGCCAGAAATCCTAAACTTCAAAGAATAAGTTCTACAAAGTAAAAAAACAGAAAATGAAGGGTGAAGGAAACAGCGCAATAAAATCACAGGGGAAAAAATCAGTAGCAAATAGAGGTCGTGTAGCTACCGAGAAATTGTCATAGTTGAAGGTCAATTTCAAACTTCCCACTTGTATGGAAGCAGCCAGCGGATTAACCGTGAGGTTTGGTGCGGGTCAGTAGCCTCTAAACATGGGTTTGAGTTTAAACAAGCAAAAGCAAATAGTTTCTTTTCAGCAGTCTCTGAACCCTATATGTTTATTATGGTTTAGATAAAATTCACAAATTATTTTTTAATTATAATAATTTGCTAATTATTATAATAAAATAATAACAAAAATATAGTATAAAAATTATTATTATTATTATTATTATTATCATAAGAAGCAGAAGAAGAAGATTTGTGATTCTGTGTAAAAACTTGATTGTGAATGTTTTATTATTAAAAAATTTATATGATAAATATTCAAATTTTCAATTTATAAAAAAAACACTTAATTTCATATTATTATATAAATAACAACAGTCAAGAATTATCCAATCATCTTCTCAGTAAAGACATGATATATCATTAGCTAAGACTAATAATACATAAGTTTTTGTCCTACATAATTACCCATCGTATCATTATTCACTTTTCTTTTTTTCCTCATGTCTATCAACTGTCCTACTCTCCTTTTGAAAAGAAAAAAATCTATCAACTGTCCCAAAAACAACTTATGAAGAGTATGATCCTCTCAGTTTAAAAAAGGAATGACTTTAATGAAAGGATAAACAAGATAACAACAAATGAGTGAAAAGAAGGCATGCCAGACTTGGACCACAGTGACATACTCAACTAATTACGATATACCAATCACAAGAATGAAATTAATGTACAGGGATAAAAAATCTCCTTATAGCAACAACTAAGCACACAATATAAGTTATAACCCGCTGTTACTCTCAAGCCCCTAATCCAATTCAGACCACGAAAAACCACCTACATCATCCCATGGCAATCCCCAGCCCCACCAGATTATCCCTTGCCATGGAGAGAACCGGGCAATGGTAAACACTACTCCACTCCTTCATTTTCAAACTCACGACTTAACTATTTTCCAATGAATTACTTAGTGTCATGTGTTAATGTTAGTAGCTATAAGAATCAATTCCATGAATCAATTGTTATTGCAGGGTTTTCTCCCCAGAAATCCCCACCGACGTTATTGTTGCAGTGGGAGAAGCCAGTTTTTCCCTCCACAAGGTACCTAAATTTTGCCTAATACAAGGAACTTGATCAATTCTTCTAATATCTGTGATTTTGTGTAGTGAATTTATAAGTGTTGGATTTGTTAACACAGTTTATTCTGGCGGCTAAGAGTAACTACATCAGAAAGGTGATCATGGAATCAGAGGAGAGTGACCTAACCAGAATAGACCTCACGAACATACCTGGAGGCAAAGAAGCTTTTGAGAAAGTAGCGAAGTTCTGTTACAGCGTCAACTTCGAGATCACTATTCATAACGTGGCGCCACTGCACTGCGCTGCTGAGTTCCTCCAGATGACTGACGAGTATTGCGACGGAAACCTCGCTGGAAGAACGGAGGACTTTCTCTCACAGGTCGGCCTCTCCACTCTCCATAACGCCGTCGCGGTTCTCAAGTCCTGCCGGCAGCTTATCCCCTTCGCCACCGAAGTCACCGTCGTTGACCGCTGTGTTGAAGTAATCAGCTCTAAGGCTTGCAGCGAGGCGAAATTCCCAAGCCAGTCGCCGCCGAGCTGGTGGACGGAGGAGCTCGCCGTGCTCGACGTCGATTCCTTCGCCAAGGTAATCATCGCCATGAAACAGCGCGACGCTAAGTATCTAACCGTCGCCGGAGCGTTGATCACGTATACTGAACGCACGCTGCGGGAGCTAGTCCGCGACCACACCGGCGGAGGAAGAGGAATCCGATCGCAGAACTCCGGCGAATCAGATTCGGAGTCGATAAGAAGCGAGCAACGCGAGATTCTGCAGTCTACCGTGCCGCTCTTCCCGATGGAGAAAGCGGCGTTTCCGATCAACTTCCTCTGCTGCCTCCTGCGGTGCGCGATCTATCTCCGCGCGTCGAGCGCGTGCAAGCGCGAGCTTGAGAAGCGCGTCACGGAGATACTGGAGCACGTGACGGTTGACGACCTTCTCGTGCTCACGTTCACCTACGACGGAGAGAGGCTCTTGGATCTGGACAGCGTGAGGAGGATTATCTCCGGCTTCGTGGAGAAGGAGAGGAGCACGATGGTGTTTGACGCCGGCGTGAACTTCAACCAACACTTCTCCCCTGCGATGCAGCGCGTGGCCAAAACGGTGGATGCGTACCTCGCTGAGATAGCCGCATATAGCGAACTCTCCATCTCTAAGTTCAACGGCATCTCCATCCTCATTCCCAATGGCGCAAGAAAATCCAACGACGATCTATACCGCGCGGTTGATATCTACCTCAAGGTACACAAAATAGGGTAATTTTGAAATTAATCTAATTAACTACCACTCTGGAAGTCCCTTGGATTTAATCACCATACTTGGTTGTTTGTTTCTCTCAATAAACCCAAAAATTAAAATTAAGGATAGATTATTTGAATTAATCATTAATTTAATATTTTGAAGTATCTTTCTTCTGTTCCCTTTTTTTTCTTTACCAGTATCATTCTTTCTGATACTGTAATAACTCTTCAAGTAATTAAATTGAATAACTAGTACTTAAAATGTTGAATATCTATGACTTCAATTGCTAATTATTTTACCAACATTCAAAAAAAGTAATTTAGAAAATTAATTAACATGATTTGTGATACTTAAAAAAATAGTTATATAATTTGTTTTACTTTAGAAATTACTTATGAGATGAGAGAAGAATACTGCATTTTTTTTAATTTATAAAAAAGATTTTTTATTTTTTCTTCTACTTGAATTTCTCCACTAAGATTTTAGTAAACACTTATTCAAAATAAACCGAACTGGTGTCAAGTAACAAACTAACTATCTCCCACGCGCCCACGCGTTATTGCAGGTGCACCCGAACCTGGACGAGATAGAGAAGGAAAAGGTATGCAGTGTGATGGACCCACTGAAACTATCGTACGAGGCGCGTGTGCACGCATCGAAGAATAAGCGGTTGCCATTGCAGATCGTGCTTCACGCGCTGTATTACGACCAACTGCATCTGAGGAGTGGTACGACAGAGGACAAGGAGGCGGTAGCGGTGGCGATGTCGGCGGACAGGAAACAACTTCAGGCTGACGTGTCTCTGGTGAGGGAGAACGAGGAGTTGCGATCGGAGCTGACGAAGATGAAAATGTACATTACCGATTTGGAGAAAAATGTCCAGGGAACGTCGTCGTCGTCTGGGACTGGGAGGGAGACTCCTGGGCCTGTTAAAAGGCACACCTTTTTCTCGTCCATGTCGAAGAAACTGAGCAAGTTGAACCCGTTCAAGAATGGGTCTAAGGACACGTCACACATTGACGATGCCCCTGTGGACTTGACCAAGCCCAGAAGGAGAAGGTTCTCCATTTCCTAGATTTCTTCTGTCCAGCCATTTCTTCGTGAATTCAAATTTCCATGTTTTTTTAAGTCAAATGTATTTTTTTAAGTAGTTATGTTTTTCTTCTAATTGTTAGTTTTTCTTTAATGAACGTTTTAATTTGTAATTAATAAAATAGTGATAAGTGATTGGATTTCTTACACTAGATTTCGTCATATCTTATAAAAAGATGTAATATGTATTTGATGTGAATAGAATGAAGCGTCTTAGTTTCGGTGTGAACTAATGAGAATTATAATACAATGCTCTCATCTGTGTTATGCCATCGTATTTTGAATCACTTCTACTTTTCAACTTAACAAATACATTAATTAAAATAAAAAATCATTTGTAAGATATATTTTTTTCCAAATAGTCTAATACTACCTACTCTTCTTGTTTGTTACAAAAGAGTACTCTTTAATCCATTCACCAATTGGAGACATTTTACCTTGTCATTTCAAGTTAAGTAAAAGTTTATATATTAAGTCAAATAGATAAGTGCAAACACGTAACTTTGTTCATTTAAGTTTTAAATAAAAACATAAAATAAATAAATAAATAAATAAATGTGAACAGTGATGTGAATAAAAATAATGGGGAGTGCTGATTGAAAGATATATATTGGAAAAAATAACTATAATAAAAGGCAGTGTATTAGTAACAAAAGAGAGCGTAACTTGCAACTCCCTAAGATTTTTGGGTCTGAATAGTAGGCCGATTTATTTGAGCACAGGCCCAACACCCACCCTTCTCAAACAAATAAAAGTCTTTGTCATTTCAATTTTATAGTTTCATTTCATCGTCCTGTTGGGATCAAGAAACTGTAAAACCTAGCCTCTCCGCTCCTTATATATGCATGGCCGGAAGCTTACAGAGAAACACGCAAAACAGAGAATTTTTCAATAGTTGTCTGTGATAAGATACAAACTTGAAGATAGAGATAGATAGATTGTACTTATAATAATAATATAGAACATGTCTTCAAACAAGAGCGAGGAGAAATCTCAGGCCGCGGCGGAGAGAATCAAGGCAGCGGCGTTGACTGCGGCCAAGGGACTGAGCCGTGCACAGGCGGAGCGCGCAGCGGCGGCGGCTGCCAGGAACGTGAACGCGTACGGGCAGAAGGAGGAAGGGCCGAGCCGATGGCAGGAGAAGAGGGAGGCCAAGCGGCAGATGTATCTGATGAGCACCGAAAAGGCCGTGAAATTGGGCGAAAGGAAGGATCTCAAGTCTTCGAGGTCCTCTTCCGGTGGCGCCGCGCAGTGCCAGAAGTGCTTCCAGAGTGGACACTGGACTTACGAGTGCAAGAACGAGAGGGTTTATATTTCGAGGCCTTCGCGGACGCAGCAGCTTAAAAACCCTAAACTGAGGGTCGATGCGCCTGTCGCTTATGATTTTGATTTGGATGGCGATGTTCCTGATGGTGATGATAAGGAGGAAAAGGAAAAGATGAAAAAGAAGAGTTCGAAGAAGAGTGCAAGGAGACGTCGTCGTTCTGATTCCGAGAATGATAGTGAGACTGATAGTGGCAGTGCTGCATCCTCTGTTACTGGATCGGATTCTTCTTCTGAGAGTAGTTCGGATTCTGATTCGGAGGAAGAACGGAGGCGGAGGAGGAGGAAGAAGCAGAAGAAGAGGTCAAGACGCAGCAGGAGGAGTTATAGTTCTTCTTCAGGATCGGAGTCTGATTCAGATTCTGGTTCTGACTCTGATTCGGATGATAAGAGCAGCCGCAGGAAGAAGAGGCGTAGTCGTAGGCGTTGAATGAGATCTTGGCCTGGTCCATGGAGACAATACCAAGTTTCAGCCGATAATGTGGTTGTTTCTGATTTGGCAATGGGTAATGTAGAATGAGTTTTGCTGGATGCTGCTTCGGTTGTGTTTCTTTTATTTGATTACTTATCCTGAAGTTTAATGCTTGCAAACTAGGTTATTCTTTCAACATTTAAATTTGTGGTACCTGCAACTTAGGTTTATTTTTTCAACATTAAATTTGTGTATGTGCTTTGTCTTATTGTGAGATGCTCAAGAAGTTTAATGGTTTTTTCAATTTATGCTAGCTTATTATAAATCTCTTGTTGTTTGAGCCTTTTATAACAGAGTTTGTTCTTGCATATTGTCTATCTCCGAGGGCTTTCCTGCACCTAGATTATTTTAAATCAACAGAGCCTTTGCTTATTACATCGGTTGGCATATTAGTGTGAACTGCGGTATTTTTTTATTTTCATTCTTCTGGTTATGTTTTGTTCTGCCGTCAATAGTTATTGGTTTAGGCACTTAATATTGTTGAACGGATCTAGATTACATTAACTAACTAAACATAATTTAGTTGATCTTGTTATTTAATTTCCTGAACTTACCGCTAACATTGGCATGCTATTAACCCTGGTTGCTTTTGGTTTTCATGCTTCTGGTGAATCTTTGTTTTGTTCCTGTCAATTATATAGGTCTTATTACCTAATTTTGTTGATGGATCGAGGTTACATTACACTTAGGCTTAAATGTGGTTTTAGTACCCTTAGTGTTTTATACTTGTGCAATTTTAGTCCCCATACTTTTAGTTAAGCAAATTTTGTCCCTCAATTTTATAAAATATTAAATTAAATCCTTTTGTTAATTTGACATCCCAATTTTTATAATAGAGTTTGTTGACACCATCTATCTCTTAAATTAAAAGGATTGTGTGTGAACAAAGGATGATATGGAAATAACAGTTTGCTGACATCAACTATCTCTCAAATTTAAAGAATGGTATGTAATCAAGGAATGGTTAAAGGAACCCCCCCCCTTTTATTGTTCTCTCAGCTGAAATATAATCTTATTCTCCAAAATAAATTTAAAAAAAAAATCTCCATGATGCCGATGCCAATTGAAATAGGAAAACTCACATTAAACTGGAATGCATGTGTGAATATGATGTGCATAAGGAATGGGAAAGATGACATGATATCTACTTATTTTAAAAAATATTTTTACATATTAAATGTTATTTCACCTCATCATATATTTCCTCATCTTCCTTTTAGTTTGGATGTCAAAATTTTGATTTTAGATACAATTGAGGGACCAAAAATGTTCAATTACTGATAAATATAGGGACTAAAACTTCACGAGTGTAAAACTTAGGGGAAAATTGCATTTAATTAAGCCTTAAACTAACTTGGCTGAATGTAGTTGCTCTTGTTATTCTGCTGCATCTGGATTACATTAAACTAACTTAGTTTGACCTTATTGTTTGCGCTAGTTAGCATACTATGAACCTCAATAGCGATTGGTTTTCATTCTTGCGAATTTATGTTTTCTTCCGTGGTCAAATTCTAGTGGGTCTTCTTACCTTATTCTATTAATCTAGATTGCATTAAACTAACTTAAAAAAAAAAAACTAATTTACTTTTCCTGCATCTAGATAACATTAAACTAACTGAGCTTGAGCATTTTGCTTCCCTCTGTTGGCATACTGTCAATCTCGGTAGATTTTGGTTTTCATGAATCCATGGTTCTGGTGAATCAATGTTTTGTTCCACTTTCAATTGTAGTTGATCACTTGCTCTTGTTACCTGATTGTGTTGATAGATCTAAATTACACTAAACTAACTGAGACTAATTTGATCTTTACCTAATTTCCTGCATTTAGATTACATTAAACTATTTTCAAAAAATGTAATGGAAAATAATTTCCCAAACCAAATCCCTCCTAGGATTTCCATTTTGTATATTTCCAATGACCATTGTGCATCCTGACAATCATTAATGCTACCTAATACTTAGTTATTATCAGTCATTAAATATGTCTGTTGCATTAGTATTGTGTATCACATAACATCTGATACATCATTAGACATTATATCAATGTAATAAAATTTTATTGAAAGCCTCTTTTTACTTCCTTCCCTGCCTAAATCCTACTATTTCTACAGTTTTGAAAAAGTTTGACTCTGTTAATATGACTTATTATGAATCCTTTCTCCTTGATATCGATCATTGCAAATTTTGTTGTTCTCTCATCACAGATTTCTGAAATGCATAAAATTTTGCCATTTATATTTTCTGGAGTTTCACTACTGAAATCAGAAGATGCAATATTATTATGAACATATTTTCTCTCTATTTTTCACTTCTTGAAATGCTAAATTAGTTCCTTAACTAACACTTGGTAGTGCACCTGGCTGAGTTCAGTCCTATTATTTTGCAAGTGTCCGTGCCGGACCATTAAATTCTAAGATTTATCTGTTCCAGTGTCCAGAAATATAAATGCATATATATGATGTGTAGGTGAAAGAAGTTTCATTTTAATGTCTTGAATCTGAAATATTTTAATCTCTTTTGAATTAAAGTTGAAGATAATGCTCTTTGATTGCTATTTATGGTAAAACTTAAGTCTACACGTTCAAAAACTACGCATTTTTTTGCTGGTTTTGGGTATTCTGAAATTTGTGAATGTATGTAGGCACCTGCTAAGGGGATGCATGGCCCTCATTTTTGTTTGCTGCAACCCTACCTGTGGCAACCGTTGTCGAGATTAGGACTCTTCGTACCTTGCTCAAGCCAAAGGTTCAGCGTAGGGGTATTCAGCATTTCATATTATTCACGCTTGAGTAGGAAAAACTTTATTTTTGCTCACTGGTTAAAGAAGTACTTGCATTCACTCTTTAAACTCCCTAATCGGCTATTGTTAACGTAGTTAATGATCTATTTCTTTAGTTTGTGGGTTATGAAAAGAGTTTGCATTTAGTCTGTGAGCCCCTAAATATTTTATGAAAGGGCAATGATTGCTATTGAATGTAAGAACGAATAACAAAAGTTATAACTGTGTCATGGACTTAAGTTATGTTTGGATTGATGGAGGTGTTAGATGAATTAGCTGGAAACAAAATAATACCACTATTTAAGTTTTAATTATTGTTTTCATTGTTTAAAATATTATGTAATATAATGAAAGCAAAAGAGATATATTCCATTTCATTCTATCGAGGACATTGAGAACAAAACTATTACGTTGTAACTTATAAGCTATCTTCAAATGGATATAACCTTACAAAAAGAAAATAAACATTTGGGTCAAATTAATGATTCATTGTTTGTAACCATATTATTCTACTTCTTTTGGAGTTAGGCTCTTTGTTGCTTATACTAGTACATACTTAATCCAATAATTATTACATTCATAATTTTGTATCTTGATCTTTATTTTTAAGCTATAAATTCTCGTATTCATTTTAGAGATCAAGATTTTTACGCTTATTAACTCTTTCAACTAATTGATTTTTTTTATATTCTCTTTTTTGCATCATTTATAAAGTGATCTCTCCACACACAAGTTACGAGAGTGAGATTGATTTTTAAAAATTTCCAATCTTTGTAATTATTATTATCGTTGTTGATAATTTAAACCATATTTAAAAGAAAACAGACATTCTGAAAAAAAAAAATTTAATCATATTTTTTTTGGAATAATTTGTTTCTATACTTTTAAAATTCAACTTTACTCTTTCTATAAATTCTTATTTTGTTTTTAAATTTGTTAAAAAAAAAACACAAACCTTTTTTTATTTTAAACATTTACTTTCCCTTTAAAGTTGAAACTAAATTATATTAACTATTGTTTAGTAGTAATATGTTATCATCCTTAAACTTAAAATAAATATCCTATTTTCAAAAAAATATTTATGCTTAGACAAAATCCTAATGTCTTTAAAAAATTGTTGTGATGATTAACTATTATTTTCGAATTCAAATTAAATTAAATGTATTTTTTTTTTATGAATTTTATTCCTTGAAATAATAACATTTAATTTTAGTAACTACTGGGTGCACCTTTGCATTTATTGGATCGTGTTTTTGTAACGTTATCTGGTAAGGTGGAGTGTGAGTGAAAGTGAAAATAATGTGAAGCATAGGTAACAGTTCAAACGAACCAAACTTTAGCAAAAAGAATAATAAATATAGGGGACCATGGTCCATGCTTGAAGGACCATGTCACTCTACAACATTGTGATTTTTTGTTATTACAATAATGTTTTCTTTTTGTTAAAATAATTTTTTTTACTTACCGTTATTTTACAAGTGAATCAAAATCCTATTCATAAGAATAATAATACTATTATCAAATATCTATTTATAATCTTTTCTCCTTTTATCCTTTTTATTCTTCAATCAGAAAGTTTTTTCTCGCAAAATAATTGTGCGGTCACTTATTTATTTATTTTTATATATATATCAAGGTGTTACGCTTGATAACATTTCATTAATTCTTGTTTCTTACCAATTTAACTTTGTAAGGAATTCTTGATAGTTTTAATTTTTCTGAAGATTGAATGAAAATATATTATTAAACTATTTATAGATAATTACTCATCAATATATCTGATAGATATTTTATATTAAACCACAATGACAAAAAAATTATTTGCGCACGTGTAATTAATAATTACATTTATCGTATTTGTGCCTTTGTATAATTTAATTTAATTCATCACACTTTCCATACTCTTGAAAAAATTAATTCAAATGTATTACTACTGTACAAGATTTTACATTACAAGTATTACAAATTTACTTGTGAAATAAAATTGTTAATTTTTTTATCAACTATTTTAAAAGTTATATGAGATAAATTCTAATTACTCGATGATATGTACTTAATTTTTATTGAAAAGACAATATATGTTTCTAGTCTTTCAAATTATCTTTTTTAATGACTCTATTTTCATAATGAGAAACTAAAATAAACAAATAATATATTGACAAATAAAAACCTAAATTTA